TCAGGATTTCCAGCATTTCTTTTGTATCATGATTTTGAATTTTTCAACAAGCTGTAGAACAAATTCTCCTATGAACATTTGTATGTTAAGGCATTACCTAATGTCCCCTCAGGTGTTTTGCTACCTCTCTTACAGGAGATAGACCCTAGATAGCCCCTGTAACTGTTTGTGGTACCCACTTTCTTGGTGCTTGCAAACTGAAGAATATGAAGCATAGGTGTGTCCTGGAAAGAGATGAGAAAAAAACAGTGTCTTCATTCTTGGCAAATGTTCTTCCTGGTTATATTCACTTTGCATACAAATAAACAAAAAAGTAATATTTTATTAGGAATCCAGTGGATAGAATAATGGACTGTAACTCAGCAGAGCTCAGTTCACAGCTCTGCCGTTGGCTTATTGTGCAAAGTCATTTATAACATCACCATACAGCCTGGAATAAAGACAATTTCTTTATAATGCTATATGAGATCTATAAAGAAAAAATATTATGCAGAAGGAATAATAATTGCAACCTTCTAATGATAATAAAATTATATATATGTTTTTGTTGTGCACAGTGGAATGAAACAGATTCTATTCTGCCTCATGCTTCACCAGTGGTGCTTTTAACTGATTTCCATTTTAAGGGCTGCATGTATTAGTGTATTATTTTTAGATGTACGTTCAGATACAGGTGTGCTTTTCCACTGTGATAGCATTTCATTGTAGTAACACTGGACAGCAGTTCCTGCATCTTCATTGCTGTTGATAAGCCATAAACGACTGTACAGCTAAGTTTAAATACGTACCATTTATGGTGATGATGGGGATGGGTCTTTTTTATTTGTGAACTGAGTAAATATATTGCACAGCTTCTTGGGCTGTGAGGACTGTGATTCCTCAAAAGTAATTTGCATAAAGTCATTCATGTCTGCATTTGCTCTTTAAATCTTCTCTGGCCACATGGGTAACATAAACCATTTATTTTGCCTTATTTTATGCAATGTAAATAATAGATATGTTCAGGAATAGATCCTGAATACCTCAGCTGATGTACACCAGTGTAGCTCTGGAGCAAGTGGGGTTGCATCAGCTGAGAATCTACCCCCACTGTCAGTTGTGCCAGTCTTGCAGTGCATTATACAAATGTTCACTATAGTTTGTCAGCAGCAAAGCTGTCACCCAACAGTACACACTGCCTTCTATCAGCCATTACTTTTCTGTCATCATCATCAAGTGTAGCTTAAGAGAATCTGTGCATCGTTTCTTCCCTTCTGAACAATTTCCATTGGAATAATTGACCTGCTTTTATGGTAATTCGGTCTCTGCTATTTGTTACTGCAGCATTTTGCAAAGAAAAATGCAAAACTAATGCCCTAGAACAGAAACATTCAGCCAAATTACTTACCAGTAATCCAAGGAATCATGGATAAATCCATTGCTCAAGTGGCTTCTCATTTTGAGCTTTATATAGTTTTCACCCAAGGGTTGAGATTTGTTTTTTTTGTGGGTGGGAGAGGTAGTTCTTCTTTTGAAAGGTAACACTCATGCTCTCTGCCCTTCAGCAACTTTATATAAATCTCTTCTGAAAACCATATCTGCCAGCACTCTCACTCCACCCACGAGCTTTCACTAGTAGCACCAGCTAAAAATATTTAAAGGGGATGTTTCCACTTGTTTGGTGTATTTCATTTCACGTTTCTGCCTCTTCCTTTCTTCATTCTTCAAAAAAGTCAATAAGAGATATCATTTAAGGCTGGTGTTTTGAAGTGGTAACCAGTAAACAACCTTATAGAATGATTAATGAGTACTCAGGAATAGTTTCCTGTAACTCACAAGTAAGTTGGGACCCACTGAATTTCTTTTAAAGAAAATTAAGAGACTCCAGTTATGGGTTGGGACCTTCACTGAGTCACTGGATATGCTATATTTTCCAACAATTTCTACCACTGGCTGATGGTGTTCATATCAAGGTGTTTCACAGTCACAGGGAAATGTAAGCTAACACAGAAATGACAGAATCTGGACTTCTGACAAGTTAAACAATAAGGAGGACTTTAATTTCCATTTGAAAGCTGGAAATGACAGTCAAGGTGTGTGCTGAAAATCATGAAGTCTTTAGAAAAATAACTGCTGTTCCAAAAGTAAAAATTAATGCAGTTTGGTTCTACCTAATGGATATATTTTTCTTGATTTCTTTGTCTTGCTTTGGAGCTTCAGGGTTGCTATTGCTTTTTTCAGAGGAAAGATGCACCAAAGTAAAGACATCATAGTTGCCCTGCTGGTTTAAGCAGCATCATTGCCAGTGGAAAGCTTCCAGGGTTTGATAACAGCAAACACGCTCTGAATTTCTCTACTTTCCTTTGTAAGTTTGCTGAGTAGGTGTATTCTTGTGGCTGAGAGAGTCAGGAACTCAACAGGGATGGCATAGCTCACAGGTGGAGATATTAGCTCTCTCTTGACCTCTTGAAAGTGGAAGTAAGCTGGGGAGCAATGGAGTGATGAAGGCAGAAGTTGAATATTTTCATCACTGGCTAAGACTTAGGGAAGTTCAATAGCCACGCTACGTATGGTGTGCTCACGGTGCTTCCTCAAGCAGCTTCTATCCAATGAGCTACAGAGCTGAAGTTAGTGTATTCATGAAACTCCTGTGAAAGTACTGATTGCATCGCCAGATCCTGCCTCAGTGAGGAAGAGGTTGACTTCCCAACCCAGTATTTTGGTCACTAACATTCTTCAATGTTTCTGGTGCTCCAGGACTGGTGTGAACAAAAGAGGACATGGCATTTTGAGAACTCTGAGCTGCATATCCTCCTCCTCAATCTGAGTGCTGGGTTGGAGAATGGATTTATGTCTTGAAAGATTTTAAAGGTGGTATATTGAACATCTCACTCTGGTGTTGCTTGTTCAGAGGTAGCTTCATTTAGTAAATTGAACCTAAATAATCTAATAGCAAATGACTTATATGAAATGAGGTGGTGATCTAAATCCAGACTTTTGTGGAAAATACATGGTTGCTCGTGTGCTCGGCACAGAGATGAAGATTGGCTGTGATCCCTGTAGGATGTGGATTTCTAACATGGGTGAGGCTGGGTGGGACATCTGTGTAATTCTGCTTGTTTGATGAAAGATGAGAAGAGTATTATAAGCTAAGATAGTATTCTTTTTTATATTCTTTTTTCTTTTTCTTTTTTTTTGCACAAACAACAAACTATTTGATCTAACTAAAATGACTGTGGGGCTAATCCTGCCCTATTAACTCTCCCTAAGGAGTGAATACCTTAAGAATAGATTTTGATGGAAGTTACTCAGGATGACAAAAATTTCTTTATATAAAAGGAAATGTAGTGCAATCTAGCTTCAGAGTTCAGAACATCCAGAATGCCATGGTTATTATACTATAATACCACAGACAATTACATTATTATTTTATATTTTTCTTTGTCTCTTTCTCACACAATCCTAGACCATGATTTCATAATGTTAATGAAATGTGTTGTGATGTTCCTGTAGGCAGATGTGGGTAAATAATTACAATATGAGGAAGGTGATTCATGATGTGGCCCCAAGTTTGTGAAGTAGGACTTTGTGACTGATTAGGATATAAGCAAAGTGGACTTCAGCGTCTCAAAAAACACTTCAAAACCCCTGACAGATCAGCCTTTAGCCACTGCAAGAACTACCTGTCTCAGCTCAACAGATACTTCTGTGAGAAGTTTTGGTGATTTGTACCTGAGGCTTTCTTAGTGACCTAAAAGTATGTTTTGTGGTGTGTCCCTGACAATTTCTCCTGTTCTTCAACCAACCATGTAACTAAAGCTTGAGCCTCCTCACAAGAAAAAGGGACTGGATGACAGCATGCCTTTTCCTATGCAGGCATTTTGCCCAACACTGAGGATCAGGAGCAATGTGATGCCAAGGCTGGTCCCAAAACCCAGACCTATGTCTAGCAAGTGTGGGGGTTTTTATTTCTCCGGCTCATTCAAACCTAGACCAAATGAAGAATCCTTTTAAGTGTCTGCATTGCTATTCACAGTTCCCTTTGTGACTACTGGAGAAATAAATGTACACAACTATTTAAGAAATCCATATGTGCAGGCAGGAAAATTCTTTAAAAGAGTATAAAATACAAGTATTGCAGTCACTTTTTCTCCAGTCATATGCTACACTTTAAAAAGCCAGCATGTTTTCTTCCACAAAAAAGATCGTTATATTTCTGAACTTTCAGAAGTCCTAATCAATATAAGTAACAGTTTGAGCATGGTGACCTCATATTTAGTTCTAGAGTCATGCATCTCAACTGCTTAGTCATTAAATCAGTGGAAATAAGCATAGCAGTTAGAAGTTTCAAAAGGTCAAAGAAGTTACTGTCTTTTCTGCTTTGAATCAGCTGAGAGATTCCAGTTTCTTGGAAACATAATGCCAAGGCTGCATCTCTGCATCTCATTTTTTTTTTTTAATCTTTTGAAGCAGTATAGTAATTAGCTTAAAGGGCAACTCATACCACACTCTGTAGCAGAATACTGTACAGTGCAAGTTCCCTTCTATTTTCTCTTTCATTTGAAACTAGTTTAAAGAGTTTTAGCCCACATTGTGTACTGAAATATTTGTCTGAAGTTCTCTTACCCAAACGCCAAAAAGCTGTTCGCATTTTACAATAAAATGAATACTTTTTCAGTACAAATATGACAAGCTCTTTTAACATTTTCTCAGAAGGAATATAAGTGATAAAATGTTCCTCAGAGAGCAGTTTGTGAGGAAATTAAAATCAAAATAAAAGCAAACAATTTTTAAAAATTTCGTTTAAAATGTGATTTGTTTTCTTTATAAAAGTAGTGGCATGATTTCTGGGAGGAAGCTGCCTATTGCCTAGACTGCAATAGAAAAAACATTCTATTTTTTACTGCCAGATGAACCTGTGTCACATTTATCTGTATATCATGTCTCTACAGTGTTTTAGCAACTGCATTTCTTATATGTTTTTCTCAATGACTGTTTGTGGTACCTCCATATATTTCCAGCTGCCGTTCTGCTGCCGAAGTGAAACTGTCCAGGCGGGTTGTTGAGCATTTCCATTTTGTGGTGTACGCAGCCTTCTCGGAGATGGGAATTATCCACGGGCACTCCAGGGGTTTCTGGGTGCTGGCGCTGCTGATAGTTTTGCTTTGGTTTGTGAGACTTTACCTGCATTATCTGAGCCAATGGCTTTTCCTTCAGATCATCTCAGTTCCTGTTACCAAGTAAGTCCCACTGCCTTCTTTCTCTGTTGAATATTTCTACAAATAGCTTGATTCAAAGCAGTTCCTTCAGGCTACGAAGAGAATTGATGACCAAGACTTGTGTTAAGGGCTCTGCTTGCAAGCCCTGATAGAAGCCTCTGCAGAGACTAGGTGAACAAGGACCATATCCAGACTCCAGATGATCTGATATGTAAATGTGACCCCAGCAGAAAGGTGAAGGTGTTAATATAAATTTTCAATCCAGAACAGGATGTGTCCATTTGTGCATATTGTGTCATCCCTACCTCTTTCCCCTCTGAGATACCCAGAGGTTATGTAACTTCCACAGGAATCATTTATCATTTTGGATCAAATATTTCAAAATGACTAAGACGTGCACAAAACTGAAGAAGCATTTAAATCGTATTTGATGTTACCAAAGTGATCTATGAGTAAAATACTTCTAAGAATTTAACTTTGATATATCAATTTTACTGTGAGGACTACAACGGGTTGACATATTTTAACTATATGATACATTGACTTCAGCTCAGGAATCAGAGCTCTCTAGAGAGTTCCAGGAAAATCATTACTTGTCGTTACCTGACATGAAAAAAAAAAAGATAGAGAACAAGTCCACAAGGTGATATATACCTGGTTCTCCATATGTTGCTGTGGAGTAAAGAATGGGTTTACAGAGCAAAAAAAGATCAGTTATGCTTAGAGAAGGGAAGATTTCTCCAATATAAACATTTTTTTACTTTTCTTCACTTTTAAGCATCTTGCAAACCTGAATCAGTCAGCAGGAGCTAGTAACATGAAACTGATCTATGTCTGCTGTGATACGGGCATTATTGGCAAAATCTGAACAGTGTCTGAGCAGACTGTGCATAGGGCTGGGTATTGTTAAGGTGATCTTCTAGATCTTAATGCAAAGCCAGCCATCTCTCGCTGCTGGCCTTGCACAGCCCAGATGGGCACAGCCAGCTGGCATTAAAACTTCTGGAAGGCCAAGCATCAAGAGTCTATGAAAGCAAAGGAAACACAACAGAAGGAAGCAACGTGTGAGAGAGAGGTGGTCATGTTCGAAGCCACTAATCACAGCTGTCCCAGGCAGTCAGATAGATAAAGGATAATGTTCTCAAGCCAAGATGCCCTGGATCAGCATCCCAATCTGTAGCTGTGTGCCCGCAGAACATGGAACTGAGTTAAGCACTCTCTAGTCCCACCAAATACAGTGGTAGCACTCTCAAACCAAAGTGAGAATCAAACCACTTCACCTTTATTTAGGAGGAGAATTTAAGCGACTTCAATGGGCTTGAAATTTTGCCCTAACTTTTAGCATCTGTGTGTAACTCACAATACCATGCAGGTCCTGTCTCCTACAGTGCCAGCAAATTTGCTCATTTTGTCAGCTTTGCAAATTCCACCATGCCATGGTGGCCAGAAGGACATTTCCAGTCACTTTAGGGATGCTAAAAGCTATGTCTTCCATATCACATTTTCCGCTCTGTGCAGTGTCCAAAGGTGCTGTAGTACACAGAGAGGGGTGATCTCCTGGGGCCTGTGCTCACATTGATGCTTGTGGGAGCAAATGTCTTCCTATAGCCCTGCCTGCACACTCCCAAGGGCCTGGATGTGCATCCACTGAACTGAGAGTCAGAGGGGATCAAGGAACATGGAGGCAGGAAGAGGAGAAAACAAATTATTTTTTTGAGCAGCTTCATACATTTTTTGGTCAGAGGATTGTGACCAAAACAGGGATACAACTTTACAATGCAACATGCTGTATGTATTTTTTTATTTTTTAATGGTTTGCCCAGGAGCACGGACAATCTCTCTCCTTTTGCTTATTTTCAGATTCCATCTTTTCCCTCACACTGTTGAACTGTGCTACCAGAACTCCTTGCTGCAGACCAGTGAAGAGTTGGCCATGGTGGTGGTGGGACCCCTAACCTTGAATGCAGGCCTGCTTCTTATGGTCCTGATCAGATGGAGCTGTCAGCAGATGTTTGACTCATTCCCTTCCTTCTTGTCAAAGTTTATCATAGCTATGGGTCTATGGACAGTGCTAGACCCCTTGGCAGTGTTCATAGTGGATTCATTCCTGGGGGTAAGTCACTTAAAATAACTTGGACATGAGACCTTGACGTAGAAGTTTGGTTTATTCAGTGAATCACTGAAAGATATGAAATTCCACCCCTGGCAATGGAACATGAAAGTTAAAAAGAAATTAAATAATAATGTTATACATTACCTTTTTATTAACAAAATTCCCATCTAATGGAGTCACTGTGTTTCTGCATAAAATTAAGAGCACTGTATAAACCATATATGGAGATAAGAAAGTAAATCCACCACTGAAATGATTGCATCTGCTTTGAAAAGGATTATTGCAATTTTGGATGTGAATGGAGATAGGTTAATGAGCAGTCCTTATTATTAGCACTTTTTTCTAAGCACTGAAACAGACAAAATGAAAAAAATAGAGGTTATTGTGCACTTTTCTGACATATAAGGTAATTAACATAACTTGCTGGCACACCTGGAAAGACTTGTGAGATTGAAAGACAGACATCTCTAAGTGAAGAGCTTCATTACATGTAAAATCATGAGAGCAAAGATTCCAACTCTATCTGTGCCTCTGTGTGTGGTGTAACCCGTCTGTACTTTGGCTGCTAAGGACTTTTATCACATCTGAGGTAATGCTCAGTCTCCCACAACATGTGTTTCAGATTTGACTTGCTCTGTGCAGGTGAAATGGGGTCCTTTAGATGGGTGCAGGGCACTGAGAGCTTTTCTGGGGGTGTGGTATTGCTGTTCTTCCACCCTTCTCTGTCTTTCAAAGGCATCTTTGTTTCTGTAGCTCACTCCAGATCAAGCAGGAATCCGCAGTCCTTTCTGTGGATCAGGTTTTCAGAGGTCTCTTGGTTCCTTATACGCTAACCTGTGCTCTGCTTTTAAGAAGCCCTGTTAAAAATGTGATTTTCCACTCTTTACATGCTGTTTCCCATTGCAGTGGTTTTGAAAATTAAAATTCAGCTGTTCAAGAAATTTAATTGGAGCTCGCTTGGGAGGTAATTGCAGTATTTTAAGCATGTGGCAACACTTGGACAGCCTGGCTTTTTTTTTTTTTTTTTTTTTTTTAATTTCATGGTACAAACCATGAACAGAATTGAATTTAATTGTAATTATTCTGATGATGAATTTTTTTCCTAGGAGAAAAAGGGATATTTCCCCAATATTCAGGCTAGAAATATTTAAATATAGAAAAGGCTTTCCTCCCTCCCCCCCCCAATACTGGTGTATTCATAAAAACTGGAGGAAAGGCCGAGGTCTGCCTTGTCTTTCCCACACTTGCATTGAGAAAAATCATTGCTGTTGACTTCAGTGGAATTCTGTTCAGTTCTAGTCAGACTGGCTTTGTTATCAATTTCAAATAGGCCTTCTTTGCTTGGTCAGAGGGAAACACGAGATACGAATAAAGTAACTAAGTTTTTCATTACAGTGTTAAAAAAGCATGAGCCTCTCTGTACTTCATGCTGAAAATTTGGCAATTTTATCCACCAAGATTATCTTCGGTAGAAACTCATTTGTTCAAATATTACAGAATATACTATGTGTATCCTTTCCAGAATGAAACTATATCTCTTACATGTGTTTTCATTATTGCATTTGTACTCTTTTGTTCTTCTCCTGGCATTCTTTCAGCAGCTATTTCAGATTTACTTTCCAATCTATTTTAGATCAAGCATTTTTAAAATGTTGTGTTGTGGTAATGTAATTTATTTCAGTGCTAGAATGTATTTTAGTATCCTAAATGGCCTTAATGCTTATGAAGGATGACAGATAGCCCTGGAGACAAGGGTTTCTCTGTTTACTAACTAATTTTTTTTATTATTAAGGGAAGACTAAAGAGACAGTTGCTTGTTTGGGGGGTTTCAACTTATAGTTCAAGATACTCTGTCAAATGTGTGATTCCAGACTTGATTTACTATCAGCTCGTAGAAGGATGTTGCACAAGTAAGAAACTTTCCTATGATTTTGGAGAATGCAGTTCAAGTTCTGGTTCTGGCAGAGGTTTCCCGGGACCAGTCACTTGGTCTCTCTGTAGCATGTAAAATGCAGAGAGTAACACCTCTTTAGCCACATGGACACGTGTCATCTTGAAAAACATTGGAGACTGCAAAGCGCTCACATGACTATCATTCTGTGGTATGATAAGCACCTAAGACAGATATTGTCAGATATTACTGAAACAATTTAAAATGAAGACACTTTTCTTGGATCATGTCTTCGAGGATCACAGAAGGATTGACATAATCTCTTTGTTAGAAAAAGTGGATGGAAAGACACACTTCCCCCATGCCATTTTTACCTTGCCAGAAAAAACTGCTCGAATAAGAAATACATTTATTCTTACTTGCCATTCAGACTTTTGCCTCTCTGGAGGGATGTCAGGACGTGACTGCTGTTCAGAGGATTTTCCTTGGTAGGCAGTCTCTTCAGTAAGAAAGCAGTGGATGCAGAGAGCTTTTTTTTGCAAGAAGAGAGGACAGAGCTGGGAGATAGAACCAGGAGATAAAGTATTTTAACTTTTTTGTAAAGAATACGGAGAGATCTGAATTAGTGACTAGTCTTTATATGCCATCAGCATTCTCCTGAGACTTGTAATTTCCATTACAGAAACATGGCAGTGTTGCAAAGGGTGGAGAGAGAACAGAAATATACTCAAGAAACTCAGTCGTTGTACAGCTTGTCATTGGACTTGTAATTGTCTTTATTATGCATGTCACTGCAAAGGTAGCAAAAAATGGGGGAAAGTTTTGACTCTTCCTAAAGATTAGTCCAGGCAAGTGGCTTAGGAAGGTGCAGGCTTCTTGAAGTCTAAATGTCACAGACTACCTCTCTGAATGATAAATCCTGGATTTTTTGGTGCTGCAGTTTCACATCCATGCAAAATGTGTTAAGGTGATTTAATATGGATATGGCTGTCATTGTGTCACTTTAAAAAGGAAAAAGTGAAGAGAGGAACTTATTTTAGCTCTCAGCAGTAAAGACCGATGATATGTAGCTGAATTCTTCTAAATCGATCCAGCAGAGGGCAATAATATGTCAATACAGTAGCTAGTTCTTAAGGACTAGATATGGGAGAGAAAAAAAAAAGGGAAAATAATAAATTTTTGTAAAATCTTTTCCCATGTTTTACTGGAAGTATAATGAAACATACAGTGCTATGAAACCTTCAAGATTCTTTGTGAATCTTTGCAAAAATACACAAACCACCTTATTTCCAAAGTTACTATTTTTGTTCTATAAATATTAATTCCTTACCAATACATAGTATGCTGAAATTTTGTTTCATCTTCAGCACAATGAAAATAGTTGCACATGTTTACTTTGTTTACAGAGCAGTTGAACATAAACTATTCATAGCATAACTAAATAGGGTATATGACAGTCATGTACCTTAGGAGAAGCTATTAATGATACAACTTACGACTGCTACTTTGTACAGTTAAGAGGTATCTTTAATTCCACCACAGCAGCGGGAGCATGGTACAGTCAGATTTCTTGGGAGGTATTGGTCTCATTGTGTCTCTATTTCTTCTCAGAAAAAAAAAAAAAAAAGAAAATAAGTGAGAGCTATATCATAAAATAATACTGAGTCTTATTGGTTTTTCAGTGTTGTAGCATGTTCTTTGTGGTTTCCCAAACTGGACTGACTGGCCACTAAGGGTGGGGGGGTGAATGGAATATCTGATTTTCTGTTTAAAATGTTGCAGACAGACTTGATAATGCATGCACATACATTAAAATATTGCTTCATAAGGGAGAACTTTTCTCTCTTGCACAGAAAAAAGGCCAACCCCTTTAGGCAAAACTTAACAAAACCCTGCTGGTGTCCCCTGTTGATCTACTTGTAGTTGCTTTCTCCATTTTTCTCACCTCATTGAGTCTCAGTGAAGCTTTGTGAAACCACTACCTTCTTTGACTGATGCTGATGTTTGCAAAGCTGGTGGCAAAGCTCTCCTAGGTGTCAGCTAGCAACACATGCAAATGCCCTAATAATTCCATTTGGCATTTCAGATAACATGAGGGTTACTTTTGTTTTCCAGTGGTAGCACCAAACACTGACTCAATCTGAAATCGGGAATTGGTGCGTATACATCCTCCAAAGTACACATGATCAAAATAATGTAACTTGCTGTGTCTGGTAGGAACCAGCACTTTTCTTGTGATATGGACAAGTCATTTTGAGGCTGGTCAGTTTGGAATTATGCACTGACACAAGTGTTTTCTGCTCACTCAGCACTCCTAAAAACAACAGCACAGATCATTCAATATTACACCTCTCTGATCATTGAAATAAGGCTAATTTCAGCCTACTTACCCTGAAATATGTTAATGAAGCTCACATTGAGTATTTTCACTGAAGTATGGGTTTTGTTCAATAAGCCACCTCAATAGGGTAGATTTTAATTGTACTAAAATTAGCCAGAAAACAGTTTAGTTCACATCTCACAGTTAATTTCAAATTCTGTGTAACATGCTCCTAAGTTTTGAGCTGTGTGCCCCACAAATCAGTGTTAAGTTCTTATAAAAAAATTCAGGTTCTCATGTTTCTGTAGGTAAACAGCTTAATCAGGTTTGGCATTTTCTTATGTTGATTTTTTTCCCCCATGACAGCGACTTGGGAACAGTGTAGAGAAACCCATTGCTGATGCTGCAAAGCTCTACTGGGTCTTTCTAAGAGCAGAGGAGTCAGGAATTCCTGGTGCCTTAATCACTGTGATACTTTATACAATCCTGTTCATCATCTCATTGACAGTGTTGTACCTGTACTTTTTAAGGTATGTCTCTATCTCATTATTCCTGTAGGAGCTTAGGCTCAAGCCCCTTCTTCTGTAAGATAAAATAAGGTGACATCAGGAAACACACACAATAACATATATCCAAAGCCCAGAATTGAAGAGGATCAAGGAGGCGTGAGCTCCTACTTAACTTTTAATGCACTGGTATTTGGTGGGCATAGTGAGTCAGAGAGTGAACCACTTATTTCCTCGACAGGAACACAACTGGTGTATTGATTTTTCATAGAGCCTAGGAGCCTCTGTTTCTTTGGCTTCAGACAATGATGTCTGTGTCAAGGGTTTAAGCTTTAAAGTGTGCATACCTTTTATTTGGGTGCATTGGAAGACACTGTCTTTGGTCTTCCAAGCAGGGGCTTTGTGAGAAATAGGAAAAATTCAGAAAGTTATATATGGTGTGAAGTGCAAAATCTCTCAGTCTGCAGAGGCCCTCAGAATCTTACAGCCTTTTGATGATAAAGGATTTTTGACTTGATGTGACTGAGGCTTTAACACACTGCATGAAGTGACTTAATCCAAATAACTTTCCCATTACTTTAGCCTGTTATCAGTATTCAGTTCATCACGAAATTTGACCAGCTAACTTTCTTTCCACCTTTCTAGCAGGCACCACTAGCCGTACAGTCAATGGGGACAGGTGTGGGACACTGAAAATTAATGATAGGTTGTCTAATATATTCATTGAAAAAGTGTATTTTTTTTTTTTTTTCTGAGTGATTCATCTATAATGCACTATGAATTTTGTACCAACCCCCGATTCCCCCAGTGATGAACACTGAGTGCTGGCAAGCACCAATAAAAAGCCCATACGCAAAGGCAAGATGCAAGCAGGTGTAAGAATGGAAAAGCTCTGCGTACACCCTCCATCTGACAGAATCATCCCTTGCTCCCCTTTCCACAAACTCCGTTGCAGCAGGCAGAAAAAGATAAATGGCAGTCTAAATTTCTGCAAAGTATTTCAAAGCTCCTGCATTCCTGGAAGCTGTACACAACTCCAATGTACTGGTAGTCTAGTTAATTAGTTTTTGAGATGTTAATGCCTTCTTAATCATTGACTTAATAGTTTTGAATAGCTTCATAAGTTTTAGCTGCTGTCGTTTATTACTCAGGAAAATTAATTTAAATTAAAACATTTGTAAGGCAGGTTTTTATGAGAATATTACCAACATCTTCATTGTCTGGGGAACAGGTGCAAGATCATCAAAGTTTCCTTTCCTTCTGTATCAATTTTCCCATAATGTTTTCCAATAAAGGGGTGGGGGGAGAATGTTACTAGGGGAAAAAAGTTGTCTTAGCATGACACATTTTAAAAATGATTCATAGCAAAATACAAAAGCAAAAGGAAGATAACAAAATCTGTTACAGTGCATAAGGTCTCTGAAGTTCTTTGCTCAGAACAAAAAGAAACATTTTGAATACTGGAGTCTGTGCAGAGCCAAGTTATGCTATGAGCTTCTGAAACTGGATCAACTTTGTCTTCTTTGCATGTCCACAGTCCAACAGAGTGGGAACCTTGGACCTGACTAGGAGTCTTGAGCAGCACCCTGTCAGTCCACTAACGATAGCATTGAAACCTTTCAAAATGTTTTTAAGGAAAGCATCTCTAAAATTCATAATGTTGTTTCCTGAATATTGATATAACAGCACTTGTTTTCAAGAGAAAATAGTATTATAACCAAAGCAGTAATATCACTTTGTGTGAATGTTCCTGAGGTGTTATATCTCAAAGATATCCAAATGTAATGTTGCTCAACTCAAAAAACATGTATTTTTTACACAGGAATCCACCACATCTTTCTCTTGTGAGGTAAACCAGTATAACGATTGAGGGGTGTATTCTGTGTCCTAAGATACCAGACGACAGGGAAGACTTCGCTATTGGATGGTGGTGTTGGTGCCACCAGTTAGAATTACTCAGCAATTTGCCATTTAACAGAAGTGTTCAGCAGTGTATAAAAAAGGGCTAAGTACAGTGAACCCACCAGACCACCAAGGCAAATATAACTGCCTTTTTCTGCCACAGCTATAGAACTTCATGGCAGCGCCGATGAACAACCAGGAAGCTAATGAAATAATGGGTAGGGGATAAACAGCATTAGGCATCTATTGTGTTTATAAACCAACATACCTCAATAAATCTGGGTTCCCTTGGGTGTCTTGGGAGTCTGTAGTACATACAGCATGGAGCGATATTCTAATTACTTTTTGGAAAAATGAAGTGGCATTGATTGCAATTCCTTCATTTTAATTCCACCAGACATTGCAAACAGTCAGGAATTTGTTGGTGAAATGTTTTCTGCACTATGAGAAAATGCAGCCCCATCTCAACTGAAAGTGTCTGCTAGAAAGAGTCTAAATTTACTGGTATTAAAATATTTTTGGGGGGAAAAGCTTCAAAAATCTATATTTTTCAATGTTAACAGCAAAATTATTTTTATTTTTTTTACAATTGTTTTCCAGAAATGGAAGAGAAAGGCTCATGTGAAGATGTAATAAATAGTTTTAAATCACTCAAACTACCCTTCAATTTTTTGTTTGGGTAAATCTTTAAGAAGTCTATTTTCTGATCTGACTCTAGATAACAAATAATTTAAATGTTTTCTGCTCTTTCTGATAAATAAATGAACTTGTAAGGTATTATACTGGGTTTCACCTCTGGAAAATAACATCTAAGTTTTGTTTTGCTCTTTATTGCATTAGCAATAGAAATTATCACTCTCATATGTATAAGAAGCCATGTTAAGATACAAAAAGTGCTTTATTATTTTTTGTGCCAAAGAAAAGAAATTAAAGCAGGTAACAGGAGCAGGCTAAGTACTTTTGGGCAAAATGAACAAAGCTGGAAGACAGGCTTCATGATTCTTAATTAATTCAAAGTTAATTATATTGTTTATAACCATGTGCTTAAAATCTTCATATAGAAAATGTTTATGGCAGCAAATAGACAGTAATTTAACTGCATTAAATTTTACTTCATTTGAAATAAGAATGTTACATTAAGTGAGCTTAAATAAATGGCAAGGTCTTTTTCTTGTTTAGCAAGATAAGTGGCAAGTAATTTAAATTGCTGACCTGGAATTTCAAAAACAAACACCATAGAATATTATTGTTTCAAGATGAGACGAAGGCCAGAAAGCCCACCAGCTTGATTGCTAGTTTTTCAACTAAGCACAAGATAATTCTGAGTCAGTGTTTGCAAAAATGTATCTATTGTGTTGAAAGACACAATAGCAACATCTAATGTAGATCTGGGGATTAAGAGATGAATTTTTCTTTGAAGACACTGTGGAATTTGGACAATTACTCCATGAAGGATATTAGTTATTTGTAAAACATTTTCTCTTCTGTAACATGTTTTAAGATACTTTGGTGTCCCACTCTGCCTTAGCATGGATTTACATTTCACACTTTAGAGGTTTTTCTATTATGTCTTGGTAGGCAGTTTGTTTATATTCCCAGGACTACCTACAACTCTATTAGGTTATCTTCCAGCTGTTCTCCTCTTTTGATAAGAGAATCCCAAAATGACATCTTGGAAACTACAGCAAAGTTAGGGCTGCAGCTTCAAAAAGGCATGTTTCAAAAAAGAAGGGTGGGGGGAAAAGTACAGAGAGCGCCTTTGCAGCAAAGCAGGAGATATAAATCCCTAATCTGATGTTGAGCCAGGCTGCCAGATTTCAGCATCAGAATAGCTACTCCATCACAGAAACTCTTGGATATAGAGTTTGACCCTAAGATACATATTCCCCTTTGAAGAAAGAGCTAAAGCTCCTCCTGACATCAAGTTGAAAAACTGTCTGTTGGTGCACCTCCTTATTTCTGTTCAACAGTAAATCATGGTTGTGGGCAAAATTGCACTAGGCAGTTTATTGAGTGTGCTAATCTGCAATTATTGTGTGCACTGTAAGGTGAGATGTAGAGCTAGTGTAAATGTGAACTTCATTCTGATTTACCTAAGCAGTCCACTGCCTTCCACCCACACACATGTTGGTTAGCACATGCATGACAAAACAAGACCCCAGAATAAGGATCGGCCACAAGAACTGCGTCTAGTGCTGCTGTACATGAGAAGGATGAGTTCAGAGAGTCAAAGGAGTTGTGTCTGCTCACTCTCTCTCCTGCTTGCCAAGAAATGAAGGACTTGTAGAGCCCCACAAAAATCTGGGCTTTTTGTTGGTTGCAGCGCCACAACAGCAGTCCCTGTACTTCTCATGATTACCCAGCCAGTCTCTGGGAAGGATGGAAAAGCTTGGATTGGCACAGAGTAATGGCTGAATTGTAATAAAGTATTAGCTTGGAAGAGGTTACAAAAGGGAAGACCTCAGTTCAATATCCAAGATTGAGATTCCAGATTTTCTCATTTTTATTTTCTGAGTCCCTGGTTTTAGAATAAATATAGAATGAGAAAGAGATGAACTTGAAGAGGTTCCATTTGAATTAAACAGCCATGTTTTGAAGTTTTAAAGTTCATCTAAGGCTAAAAATGTGACACTAGGCTTTTCCAAAAGCCTCACAATATTTCTTGGTTTCACCTACATTAAGAAATACCACACAGCAAGCCTTTCTTGTGGTAGAGAATTTTACTGCGTAGTGCTTATTCAATTCCCTACCACAGCACAGAAATGTCATAGAAAAATAAAGCCAACAAACAAAATGAACTTTTCTAACATCAAGAGAAGTTTAGATTGTATAGACTTCAGGCAAGGGGTTTTAAAAAATGGTGAGTAGTTCCTTTCTATATGATGTGGTTTGCCCATTATTGAACCCTGGCACGTTAGGACTTCAATTCATACTTGACTGGGGTACTCCATGTAAGCACTAGAACTAGTTACCCAACCCAATCCTAAGGACAGACATTGGACATTTCTGAAGGAAAGGAAGATCAAGATCTTTTGGGGAAGTCAGTATCTTGAAATAATTAAAAGAAATTGCTGCTTAAATTTATGTGATTTGATTCAGGTATTGTAAAGCCTCCGGGGTGTTGGGGAGGGTTGTATGCTGGAGAACTCGTGAGAAAGAATTTTCTTACTCCTGGGTAGAGAACATAGTCATGAAGGGAAAACAAAGATTTAGAAGTTTACAAAAGGGTAAGATACATTTTTCTGTTTTGTTTTGGTTTGGTTTTGTTTTTTTGTTTTTTTTTTTTTTTTTTTTGCATGAAGATGAACTAAATGTTTCATTTAAAGATGAACTAAATGTTTCATTTCTGTCCTTTTAAAGATGAACTAAAAGTTTCATTTCTATCCTTAGGCTACATAGTGAAGGTTGGCTGTTGGATGCACTTCGACGCATTCATGGTGAGGAAGGCGCATTCTTTGTTCCGCTGGACTTGGAGATTTCCAGTCAGGAGCTGAGCTACATTATGAAGAGGGCTGAGCAGTGGAGAGGAATCAATGGTGAAAGACGGATGGTGAGTGGCGAACAGAGTCTCCAAAAGGAGTCTGTGACATACTGGTCCAACTTAATGCTTTGTATTTCTGGGTATTACCTAAAGGGACCTAGATCTACAAGAAAATTATTTTTAGGGTGCTTCTTTGAATGGAGGCACTAAGAATCATGTTCAGGAGAATTTTGTGAGGTTGTATGTGCATTGGCTGAACATCCTGAGGGGTTACAACCTGCTTAGTATCCAAAGGCTTAACAGCATCACTGATGTCAAAAATTATCTATGCTATCTGGTGATTCTTGACTGGGTCACAGAGACTTGCTACTTGTTTAAATGTCAGTCCCATCTCAGATAATTTCTCAGCCAGCTCAGCAAACTGGGGAGTTCCATGGACAAGTAGAATTTGCTCCCTGCAAGCTCATGGATGGGGCTGCCCTGAAGAGGGGTTGTGGGTTTGGTCAGTCATATGTGATAGCCCCTATCTCACAGTACAGTTAGTAGTTTGAGTTGGAAACGTTCAGGAGGAAGTAGGAGAGGTCTGAAGTTGGTCTGCTATACTTTGGATATCAAAATAATTCCTCTTTCTTTTCTGTTAAGCCACTAGCCTCTAGTTCCATATATAACTTTAAGCTGTGATGTGGAGGAGATATATCTGTGTTTGCAAAGTGTCCAGTGTTGGAGACACCATCCACAAGTGAAGCTTCTGGACATAACTGCTTTCAGAGAATTGAAAATAACAGAAGTAATGTAGCCAGTAGACTGTAAGGGTCATTATCTTCCTTCTGAGGGACATTTTCTTCCTTGTTTTCTAGCTTCACATCAGCATTATTAATTCCCATAGGACTATCTTATAAAATAGCTCTGGAACAATTGTTAAAGTGCTCATCAGTTGGATTTATACATCTATGAGTGCCTCTGTGCACAATGCTTTTCTTCCGTAACTCTTCTGCTTCAGTGTAAAAATGAACAGATTCCAGATAGGAAGGAAATTAGTCCTCTTAAGTATGTATGAGTTGTTTGTTTTCTTTTTGTTTCTAACCCACTGGAACAAGTGATTTCAGATTAGGGTCTGCAAGTTTTTCAAGTCTCTATAGCTACCTCTGAAAGATCAGCAGTTTATATAAATATATGGCTTCAGTTGTCACTGCTATAAACATCTTGCACAGCTGTAATTATTTTCCACTTTTTTTTTGTGATGACAGTTTGGACCCTGAAAGGAAAAATAAAAAGGTGAATGTGCCAATTGAATGAAAAAACAGATACTCAGTAAGCTTAATTTTTGTGGGAAAGTGCAGAGCACCACATTGCATTTCAGTAGAGGGGAGGGAAAAGGTTTGAATGAGTGAATGTGTTATCACAGCCACCTGCCTCAAATATTCCCACTTTTTACACAGATAGCACGTATTTGCTTTACCCCAGTAAGCAAAATAACTCTTTTTTTACACTTAAAGACTTCTACAATAAGTCAAAACATACCTGCTGATGATTGGTTTGTATTACCTTTTTTAAAAGTTAAGTAAGGCCAGACAAATAATATATAGTGGATCTCATTTTACATGCCAGGACTACCAATGCCATATGGGAAAAGTGGTGGATAAGGCAACTGCAAACAACTACTTTTCTGTTTCAAGTGCTGAATACATTTCTAATGATATTACCAGAATATCATTTCTTGTAGCAGTATAGAAAGGGCTGAATGGGGGCGGGAGGGAGGAGGGAGGGTGGGAAATAAAAAGAAAAAGAGAAGAAAAGAGAGGGGGGAAAGGAGGAGAGGATGGGAGTAAAGACAAACAGAAAAGAGTGGAAGGAAAAATTACCTCTCTGTTTACAAATAATCTATTCCTGAATGGAGGAAATCCGTGTTGTCCACTGCTATGACAAGATGTACTTCAGAGGGCAGAACACTGAAAAACATGACCCATCGCTACAGACATATGTAAGTGCCTAGTTTTGCTCCCAGTATGCAGCTTAGCATGTATGAAAAACCACGCTGAAATGCGGGTACCCGACCTTTGTCTGAGGTCCTTTGAGACGGGCAGAGCCTCGGCCAGGTGCAGCAGCACGGCGGGGGCAGGCGGCGCAGGGACCAGACCGCCTTTACCCCGGCCAAGCAGAGTGACGCACGCCTTTTGTCTTTGCTCTCAGTCCCCAAGCTTCCGATCCCTATTCTGTCTACACCTGCACGAATTTCATGCTTTTTCCTTTATATCAGCCCTAACCCAACGCCAGGCTGTGACAGTATTAAACATTCCTGTTCTCTGTGGGCCGTCCTGGAGCAGACTATACGATATAAGCAGATAGGAATAATGCGGAAAGAGTGCAGAAGTTTGCACCACTGGCATCAGTAGGATCTCTACCAATTACTTCAGTGGGCATAGGATCTGCCTCACAATGAGGGATATTTGTGAGTAGAGACTACTGTCCAAAAGTCCAGAGCTATCTGTAGAAAAAAACAAATACTGTGAAAAAAGAACCAATGTTCTTCAGAAACCTGAAATCTTCCACTACTGCTCCAATTTTTTTGTTTATATTATTTTGATGGAAAAGAGAACCATCAAACCAAATTTTGTTAGCTCTTTGGCAAATCTAGTTTTGCAGTAAAAACTTGCTCTATTCTAGAAATATGTTCTCCACATGGACCATCTCCCTGAAAGACTAGGAACTATATTTTCAGGTCCTTTATGCTCTTAGTCATTGCAGATACTGAAAGGCCCTTTTTTCTGTCATGAATTTGCATAAGGTATTTATCTTGTCCCTCTCTTTTTGTATGCCTAATTGTACAAAGTAATCAGTATGGAAGACACATCACTAGGCCTTATTGCGTGCATTATTAATGCGTTAATTTTTAAATAAGATACCAAATTAACTGTGAACAATTTTTATAAAGGGAAGCATGAGACTGCCATATCTTACATCACTCCATATAAAAAATATATTTTAAATGGAGGTCATTCAAGTAAATAGTCAGTCAAACCTTCTGGAAAAAATAGGTCTACATTTTTGCAATATTTTCTTGCTATTAACCATGTGCTTCTCATTTTTATTCCCTGGATTAAAAATTGCCCCATAAATGGGTATTTTATAATATGCTTAATTTCCTTTTATTAAATTGATAAATGCAGCAGCCGAGGACACATTTACAGTATGATGAGAATTTAAGGTTATTGCATTTTATAATTTTTATATTGTTCAGAGAAGCAATTTGTCATTTGTGGAATGACATCCATGTCATCATTTCAAAGTATTTTTAGTTGTTCTTCTGATAGGAAAAAGGTCACTTTCTGTAGACCAGGAAGGCATCACTCTATTAAACTAATTTGCCTACATGCAAATTTTGTCATTTTTACCTCATTAACTATTTATCATAGAGTAAAAAAATATATATATTCATGAAGGGGCAGCTAGCAGCCTGATGGAGCTGGAACTAATATTTTGCAACTCTAATGATTTTTTGCATCCTTAATTAGATAGCATAAGGTTGATATGATTAGGTCAGGATGTAGTGTTTTTCATTAAAATATATTTTAGAAGCTGTGTTCATAATCTGCCCTTGCAATTAAATAATGAGCCTATGAGTTTAATATTATCGACCCAATTACTATCCCATGGAAAAGTATACCTTTAATAAATTTGTGCCGTAGGACCTTCATTAGCAACAAAACGAATTATATTTTCAGGTACACAGATTACATGGCCACAATCACATTTAAGTAGCAGTTTGGAAGGCACAGTGGAGAGAGAGCCACCAAAGCCCCCTACCATACACAAATATGCTTGATTATTTTGGAAGAAGTCATTTACAATGCCTTTAATGAGGAAAGCTGCAAAGTTAAAATGCCACCTACAGAGGCAGACAGAAACATTTGCAGAAACAAACATTTGCAGAAACAGTGTTCTGGGCACCCTCTGCTAGGAGGAAGTGTGGACCCTCATTCCTCAATCTGTTATAAATATGGAGGCAGAGATGAATATTTACTGATCTTTTATTGGAGATGGGCATATGTTAAATGTATGTCAAGTTCCAGAATCAGGAATATCAGAACCAGTGGCAGACAGGAATACATTAACTTACCATTGATAACAGCAGATAAGGACAGGACTTTGGATTTAAGCCAATCTCTTTTTTTTTTTTTTTTTTTTTTGTAGATATGATAAAAGTGACAATGACTTGCTGTCCTCACAAAGTAATCAGTTTCCCAAAGTTAAGTGACAGTTCAGAACCAAGGTGTCAAGTGGGGTTTTCTTTTGCCCAAACACATACAAGTTTGAAAAAAATTAAAAAAAAAAAAAAAAAAAAAAAAAAAAGAGGGAAAAAATATTTATAGTAAAACAGGCTCTGACCAGGGGTGGTTTTCTGAATGGGGTCTGTTGTGGCTGGATCGGTTGTTAGTTGTGCAGTACCCAGTCCATCATTTCGCTCATGTTTAAAGCCTCTGAACTATTTATCAGGCCAATTGCTATCAGCAGGGGTAAAAAGGAAAAAATCTGGCCCTCAGTGATTTTTACTAGATTTAGCCCTCAAGGTGCCACCACTGATTGTAGTGGCACTTTTTACATAATAATATTAATGATGAGAAAAGTTGTGCAAGCAACAAGCTGAAACAACACCATTAGTACACCAAGTATAAGCCCAAAAGGCTTGCACATAGAGCAAAAATGCAAGCTCTATAGGCAATAAGATAATGTGAAACTTACACTTGAAATAAAGCCTGATGCACTGCAAAATTATTTTAATGGGAGTAGGGCTAATTTTCTAATTCTAAAATGATATAATAGCAACCATAAAAAATTACCCAGCAGTAGTTTTTTGAAAGGAAAATATATTTGTAATTATCTTGAACACACAAGATTACTTCAGGGCCTATTATCGACACAATTTTTGGTACCACTTTACACTAATTTGCATTTATTACTCTCAGGCCAACTATTAATATGTTAATAAATAAGTCATTAATAGTTGTTATTTAATTGCTATCTATTTATTCTTGTTCAATAATGCATTAATTACTTGTGAATAGTTGAGG